AAGAAGACAGAGAAACTGCATTTTTCTGAGAGACAGGTTGGGAAACTGAGCTCCAAGAAGTATTTCCTCTGCCAAATACCATACAGCTGAGTTATTGTTTCTTTCCTGGAACTGTACTTAAAAAAAAAACGGACACAAACATTTTACATTTTTCACTTCCTTCTTGTCCGTTCTCCCAAAAAATATGTATTCTGCATCTTCTCAGTGCATGCTTTAGAGATATTATATCAAGCCTGAATGCAACTAAATGATTTGTATTACCTAGGACACTCGTAAAACATTTTCAATCTCAGTGAGACTTCCTAGATAAATAAAGAGTTGTTTTTAACCAGTGACAATTCATTAACAAGGCAGTTTCAACAACTTTACTGACATTTAAACTTTAAAAGTAATTCGGCACAAAACTTAAAGAAGACATTTGTGTTTGTAGCCTATATTTATGAGGTTTTGGCCTAAACATAATTAAACGTATTGTCGAATGAGTTATTGCCTGCTCCTGCATTTGCAATGCATCATGGATGTATACATAATTATCACCAGATTTGTTTGATACTGAAGAAAACATAAAATAAATGTGATGTTACTCGAGCAAGTTCGGCAGATATTTCAAAGTGGATTTATGGACGTTTATTTATGTTGAAATAAAATCAATTTCAAATCAATTTCTTTATTTAATAAATGCACAACACTGCTTGGGAAGTCGATACACAGTCCTTGCAGTACAACTTTTACAACTGGTTGTGAAATTGTAAGTTATCTCTTTAGACTTTAATATGATTATAATGGGACACGTGTTTGTAATGTGTGATAGATAAGGGCCTCGATCCAAATCAAACAAGTGAGTCATTCAGTGTATTCTGACATGACGTTTGTGTGTGTGTGTGTGTGCCTTTTTTCTTAGTGTATTTGTGGAGTCGTATCATCAGCCAAAGTACACACAGATGAGTCCAAGGTACACACACACCAATACACACCTTCGAGGGAGATGACCCTTGTCCTTTGTGGGTCTGTGTGTGTGTTTGTATCAGAGTTTCCTGAGACCCTTTCACATCTGCTTTTCAGGGGAGGAAGGTGTCAGTCTTTCCTCTTCCTCCTCGTCCCCCCGAAGTTTAAACCTGGAGGAATTAGAGACCTGAGGACATTCCTTCCCTTCTTTACCTTCTCCTAAACCATTCATTTAACTGCTAACTAGTGACCAACACAGCTGTGGGGCTTTTATTGTGAAGCTTCACTCTTCACTCTGCTGTGATAATTACCCCCAGAAAGAAGGATGTCTGTCTTTTGGCAGGAATACGGAAACATTACCTGCCCCTTTTTAAAGAAAGTAAGTGGAGAAGGTGTAGCATGGTCCAAGGAAGAAGTCATTACATTTTGGAGCGGATACAACTTTCGTTTTCTTGTTTTTACAGTACATTTGGTTTGTAATTGTACTACTTTTAGATAATTTTTCTGCTCAAACTCATCTGCCCATCTCTGACCCAGTTTGACGTCTCGCCCTTCATCCCCATGTCTCTGATTTAAATTAAGATCAGGCCTAATACAAACGTTTCTGAAAGGATTGTCTCTCTTAGGATGACACAGGATTTATTCACCAAAACACTGTATTTCCCCCTATAACTGTAGAGATAATCAGCATGTCCTCCAGCGTCTACCGTCTTCGATTGCAGCTTCATTAAAAGATTACAATCTGCACATTCAGCGATGTTATTCAGGAAAATATGAGAAAGGCCTCTTTGTTATCCCCTTCAGAGTAGTTACAGATTATTGCCCTACTTCCAGTTTGAACTCCCAGTTTTTCTCATTCAGACTTCAGGTTGGGTTTCCCAGCTGGAGTGTGTCGAGTTACAGTGAACCTCAAATAACACCTCTGTGTCGGGATAAGGAGACAAAGAGCGTTCTGTTGTGTGTGTGATGGGCTACACTGGCCTGCATCACGTTTTAACCACACACTCCCACTGCTGAGATGACAGGGAGCGTACACAAATCCTCACTATAAGCGCCTTTCCTTCGACCTCTCCCATTTCCTCTTTTTAAACAACATGAGGCTTTATTCCTTTCTGGGGGAAAGTGTAACATTGTGGAGTAGCTCTGGGCTGCAACTAAAGCCCCAGTGAAGCCGGTATTTGTTATTTTGGCGAATTATCACCATTAAAAGTATGCCCAATTAGCTATTAGCAGCTCTTTTCTTCAATGCACCCATTGATCTACAGACACCTTTTACTGGATTATTTAAAATGAATACTTTGTGTTTCTCAGGCTAGTTTTGTAGTCATAAACATGTCTTTTTCTAGGATTCCCAAGCAGATTTATGGATGTTTTTTTGCGATGGACTCAGAAAAAAAGCACATTTGTTTAGACCAACTGCGACAGAAGGGCGTTTGAGGGTTGAGGGTTTTTAAACAGTTTAATTGCCCTCCGTGGGTTTCTGTTGCAACTTCTGAGGGCGATGTCAAAGGTCATTTAAACCCACAAAATATGGCTTTGTTTATTTTTAAATGGGTTCTGTATGTAATTACTCCACCCTAAAAACGACGTGAACGTTTTTGTTCACGTCCATGATGTTTTTTCCTATTTTTGAGCTGAAACAAAATCAATCTGATTTTCCTTGCTCCTTCTTAGGACTGATTTGAAAATCTGAAAAAAAGATATACAACCATCAAACCCTAAAATATGTCGTTAGTTGAAGCAGCCCCATACAGTATCTTGGCTAAAAGATGGAAATGGACCCATTCAGTGGATTCATGTGTAAATATTTGACTTCCCCTTCTTGCAGTAGGTTCATGGTATGCTGTCAGTGTTTACACACACACACACACACACACACACACACACACACACACACACACACACACACACACACACACACACACACACACAGCCTTATAGGGGAGCATATGGTTGTACTCTAATTGAGGCCACATGCTTTGGCGATCGGTCATCCACCCTGCTTCTGTTTCCTCCGTCTTCATTTCACTCTCACTTTATACGCTGGCATGTTTTCTGTCGTCCATCTTCTCTCTGATGTTTCGTGCCTCTGTCTGAAATGTAGATGTGACTGTAGATTTCCAGCCCTTTTCCCTTCCTAACCTCTTTCGCATTCCTTTCCTCCTCTTCCTGACCTTACTTCCTTCTATTCCTTAACTCTCATGTCCTAACCTCTCCTACCTTACCTGCTTTATTCCTTCCTTTTTGCCTTTTCTTCTCCTTCCCTTCTTTCCTTTCCTTCTTTCCTTTCCCTCCTCCTTTACGCTTTTTCCTTCCATTTCCTTTTTTGGCCTTTCCTTTCTTCTTTCCATGAGTCCGACTTTTCCTTTCCTCCCCTCTTTTCTGTCCTTTCTTTACTTTCTCTCCTTTCACTCATTTTCTTTTACCCCTTCCCTTCCCTTTTCCTTCCTTCTCTGTACACTTTTCCTTTGGCCTTTCAAACTTAAAAAAAGTCATTCTCTTTTCTTCCTCTTACTCGAAAACGTGCTTCCATTTGCTTAACTCTCCTCAGGCAACAGTTCATAACGTCACAGTTTCATGTGTTTTTAATTAAAATAGTTTATACTCTTTTCATTGGCTGAGCACAGACTGGCTAATATTTGATTGGACGTGTTCAGCATATCCTAACCGGCAACAGAATTGCATCAGAAGTATTTTTATGTTCTGAAGAGGGCTATGAGTTCGAGCGAGGACAGACTATTGCATTGAATAATGTGGATTAGTTGTATTAGACTTAGTCACTTAGCAACACATACATGGGATGAGATTAGTTCACTCTCTGCAATTAAAAGCTAACTTTCCTTGGAATGAAGTGTACTTTTCTTAATACCAGCACAAGGTGTACTATTCTGTTTTTTTAGGGTAAAATCTGAGAAAAAGGTAACAAAAAAGCTAACCATTCTTTGATTCCTCCTAGGTTATGATTTTTTTGGTTTTTCTCTGTTTCATATCATTGTTGAATTGTTGAAAATATTATAGGGTTTTGCAATATTGGTCAAACGGAACAAGGGACTTTTAAATCACAGTTTATTGGCAGATTTGTTTTCATATAAAATATAATGTATTTAGGATTTGCTGCCTGGTTAACAGAAATCAGAAGCCTCTGTAGTGTGTCAAACAGCAAAGAATCCTGCAGGTCATTTAGCTTCAAAAAAGACAAACCTTTTTAGGTGCTTCATATGTTCTTTGACATTTTAACACAGGTGATGTGTGTCAGTATGTTATCAACACATCACCTGCAGGGGCTCTTTGTTAACCTCCGTCACAACACCTGAAGGGGAGGAGGACACAACATCTGCACGCTCGCCCTGTTGAGAGATGACAGAAAGAGATAATAGACAGCAGGAATGTGGAGGAGGAGGGCGAAGGGCGGGGGGGGGGAGAAGATTAGGAGGAGAGGGCGGGGTGCTCACTTCTTCATGTGTGTTAAACATTTGAGAGATACAGGGAAATCAGAATCTGTATACTTGATTTATCCTGGGGGATTTTGCTAATTAAAACATCAATTCAAAAAAAGACTTACAAATGTAAACCAACATAAGAAGTTAAGGTAAAAGTAGGAAAGACAATTTTACAATTTCTATTTCATTGAATTTGCTCATGTTGGTAGTGTTGGATATCTCCATTATTATGTTTTAAATGTTTTCCTTTTATGCTCAATGTTTCATATTAAATTCTCAGTCAAAAAATGTCCCTGAGCTGTTTTAAAAAAACATGTCATTCTAATAATAGACTGAGTTATTCTATTCTTAGATGTTCTACAAAATGATGCTGCAGGGATAACTTCTCCATGTGATTTGTAAATGTGCCCACACTGAGAGAAAGAGACACAGTGAAAGACTATTATAAAAGTCTTTCATTATCTGCTTCAATGTTCCCTGGGGGGGGTTGGCAGGGAAAACTTCAAGGAGAGGGGGCTATACACAGTCTGTAATTACAGGCAAATTATATCTTTATATAATTATCTGTTCCTGCTTTGAGTCGTCATTAAATACATGTTCTCTTCCTCTCTTTAGCACTTCTCCGAGCTCCTGGACGATCTCTCCCAGGATGCTCTGCTGGGTCAGCTGCTCAGCGACCCCTTTCTCTCGGGGGTGAGAGGCGGAGGCGTGGAGGCCATGGAGGGGGAGGACGGCAGCGACCTGTCCCCCTCCTCCCCCCTCCCCCCCCACATCACAGCGGAGCACAGCTACTCGCTCTGCGGAGACAGCAGGCCTCAGTCCCCGCTGTCGCACCTGACCGGAGAGCAAGGCAGCGACGCAGGTACATAAAGCCTTCAAAATGAAAGCACCCTTGCCTAGTAAACACCAATAACTTCATTCATGACTCAAGTAGTTATCCCTCATTCTTTTCATTCGTTTGCTTCTCTTCCTTACTTCTTTCCTTTCCTTTATGTATACCTTTTTAATGTTTCATAATGGTTTATTTTATTTGCATATTGACTGGTTAATGTTCCATTTCATGTGTGTTTTACGACCGCTGTATTCGTCTGCCTGTATTGTTTTGTGTTCATTTGTTTTTTACCTGGTTAAATAAAGGATATATATATATATTTTTTTCCTTTCCTTTCTTCCTTTGTGCACAAAGGAAGAAAGGAAAGGAAAACAAATATTTCCTTTAACATTATAAAATAAATGATAAAAAGATGCATTTCAGATGTTAGCCGAGGCGCGTGACACGCAGCAGAATTGACCTCCCAGAAACCCTGACATGTCTCCTCTTGCTCCTCAGAGTCTGATGGAGAGTCAGCTGATTGGCCCATGGAGCAGGAGGACTCCATCGACAGCCTCCTGTGCGAGACCCCCTCCCTGCTCCCCACCCTCTCCCTCTCTCTGGTCCCAGGTGAGGGGCCCCGGGCTCCTGAGAGCCCCGCTGTGGCCCCTGCTGTCCCCCCCTCCCCCCCAGCTCAGCCCAGAGTCAACAGCAGCCAGGGCAAAGCCTTCAAGGTGAGGACACAGGACGATAGGGATGACAACTGATATGTTTGATGATCATTCTACTGTTGTTTAACACTGTTGTCTATCTACAGATTAAAGAGGAGAACATCATCCCGCAGATTAAACTGGAGCCTCATGAAGTCGACCAGTTTCTCAATCTTTCACCCAAAGGTCTGAATCTTTCAGTTATCTAATGTTACAAGGACCCCTGCTGGATCTTTGTTGTTACATCATGATGTCCTTTGCATAGTCAAAGTATCATAAATATCTTTAAAGGTCTTACATGCATCATTTATGCATTTCAATGTATACAACAAATATCTTATATTATGTAGAGTAATGTACTTGCATTATCCCAAATGAAAACCATGCGTTAGTTTATTGGTTATCTGCCGAAAGCAGTCAGAAATTGAATTTATATAGTTTATAGACACTTTTTAACACCTTTTTCAATCTGGGGGATTAACAGGATTATTTATTTTAGTCTTTGGATGTCTTTGTGTTAAGTAATCAGAAAACAACCTGAGCAAAGTGAGAAGCAATGATTTTTAACATTAAATTGTTTTATTAAGTGTTTTCACCAGTTGTAATCACTTAGTTTGGTTGTCTTTTCAGAGGAATGGACATAGTGAATCATTTGGCTCCGCTTTAACAACTCCTAAAACGCTGGCACTTAAGTTATCAAAGACACAGGCTGAGAATAAATGAGAAATATGAACTTCAACGGTCCTTTGAGAACAGCTTACCTCATCAATACCTTTATATATTATCCTTAAATACTTCTAGTTTTAATCTTTAAAATGCTTCCTCCGGTCTCAGGTCTGGAGGTGCTGCAGATGCCTCCCACTCCTCCCAGTTCCCACGGCAGTGACTCTGAGGGGAGTCAGAGTCCCGTCCACGCCCCGCCCGGCCTCTCCTGCCCCCCCTCCCCCTCCAGCCCCCCCCCATCCCAGGCCAGCCACAAGGTGTCTCCCCGCGCCACCTCCTCCCTCTCCAACTCCCCTCTGCTCACCGCTGCTCATGTAAGCACCATCTTAGTTTCCTACTTCATCTACCATTGACTCACAGCAATCTAGATTTCATCACACATAAACATCCAAATATGTTCCTGTTGGAAAGAGTAGACAACCTTGTTCCAACTAAATCACATTTTATTCTAGTAATCATCAAGAGAAAGGGCCTTTGGGGTGAGAAGTGTTCTAAACAAAGTCACATTTTACTGTATAAAATATTGTCATCAGTTTACATTGTCACACAGTTTCTCCTGTTCTTCCTCCATGATCCAGAACTATCTAAATACCAAATACAAGACATTTTCCACCATTTTATGTTTTCTTGAGAAGATCTTTTAATTTTGGTTTATCATACAGTCTTCCCTTGAGTTTGCATAATTTATATTGTATCCTTTTATAGAGAGTAAAGGTACTTTTGCAAATGGCCGTTTAAAACCTGGCTTCAACAAACGTTTTTTGGATCATTGTGATTAAATATAATGTTTGTTTGTGTGTAGAAGCTGCAGGGGTCCGGCCCGTTGATGCTGACGGAGGAGGAGCGCCGTACGCTGGTGGCTGAAGGGTACCCCGTCCCCAACAAGCTGCCCCTCACCAAGGCCGAGGAGAAGGCCCTGAAGAAGATCCGCAGGAAGATCAAAAATAAGGTACAGACTGATTCATCCAGACCGTATATCACCATCCATATGACTTTTTAGTAATCCATTAAGGCTGTTACAACCAAGACAATATGGTGAAAGATTTGTATCAGATGCACAAATATGTTGTTTGATTACGTTTATTCTCTGATAAGAATAAGGGACAAGAAGAACTGTTGGTTCATGCAACAATTATGTACACACATATCAAATCCACCAAAAAATGAGGAAAGATATTGCTCTTTCAATATAAAGCATAGATTAAAATATAATTTGATGGCATGAAAAGTATTGTTCACAAACTCTCCTCTTCTGTATGCACCTGTTTACCTGTATGCCTTTAATAATAAACTGAATATTATGTTTTGTAAAACAACATAAATGTGCTTTCTTCCTCTAAGTATATTTATCTTTGTCTTAGATTTCTGCTCAGGAGAGTCGCAGGAAGAAGAAAGAGTACATGGACGCTCTGGAGAAGAAGTAAGTTCTCCTCTTCTTCATTATAGCAGAGGGACTGGGAAATAAAAAGAGATTAAGGTTAAATGCAATATCAACAAAACGAAAATAAATAATGTGCATTGAAGTGCAGTGACTGACCTGCAGTACTGTTTCTGTCCTCAGGGTGGAGACATGCTCCAACGAAAACCACGAGCTGCGCAGAAAAGTGGAAAACCTGGAGTGTACCAACAAGTAAGAGCAACAGCCACTAATGATACACACATACTGTATTAATACACACACTACTGCACATGGGATTGCCTTTAGATTCAGTGCATGCCAAGTAAAGAAAGATGTTTTTATACACGAAACTCAGCCTATTAAATGAAAGGAGTGCTCGGTTTCAGGTAACACTGCAAAAGTCAGAAACACTGTTTAATAGCTAGAGCATTAATATGTTATAAATCAGTGTGCCGGTAATAAGCAGTTCAGTACATTACTAGTTGATTTAAAAAAATTCAAACATTGTCGATATCACCACAATTCAGTGAGATAATATTTACTCATTTTGAAAATAGTCTACAGGTACTGTAATAATTGAATTAGAGAGGATTAATGTGTCGGGATACATTTACTGAATTTTATTATTGAATTAAAAGCTCCCTGTTGGCAATTGTTCAGCCACGCATAATCATGAGGCTATTTTAATGTAAAATGCTCAAGCTGCTTCAATTTAGAGACCGTGTTGGTGCTCTCGTTATGCATGGATGCACTGTGTGTGTGTGTGTGTGTGTGTGTGTGTGTGTGTGTGTGTGTGTGTGTGTGTGTGTGTGTGTGTGTGTGTGTGTGTGTGTGTGTGTGTGTGTGTGTGTGTGTGTGTGTGTGTGTGTGTGTGTGTGTGTGTGTGTGTGTGTGTGTGTGTGTGTGTGTGTGTGTGTGTGTGTGTGTGTGTGTGTGTGTGTGTGTGTTGTGTGTGTGTGTGTGTGTGTGTGTGTGTGTGTGTGTGTGTGATGCACAGCTGTATCAGGTCTTGTTTTTGTTTTCCACTCAGTGGTTTAAGATTGCTGTCTGAAAGTTAAATGTACCGTGTGTGTTTTGTTTAGCCGTCTTTAATGAAGCAACAGAACAAGTCCTTTGACTTATGCTGCATAAAGACATGAACAATGAACATATTTGTTCATATTGCTTTATTTTTCAGCTAATTCCATATTGTTATATACAGTCAAGGTACAAAAAAACAAGGTTACTTGAAGCGAGAGTGCAGAAGGCATAGGTTGTAAAAAAAGAGCCCTCCTGTGATTTATCCAAGTACAACCTTTTTATAGTCAAAGATCAACATCTTATGGCGAAATAACTACAAACTTGATTATAAACAGGATTGAAAACGTTAAAAAAGTTACATATTACAATTCTTAGGGTAAGATTTGAACAAAGTCCTGTACAGGGGATTCAATAATAATACAGCATCACAAAAGGAAAAGAAAGGAACTTAACAATAATCATAGAGTAACAATGAACTACAACCCTATACAATCATTTTTATTATCAGTGTTAGGGAAGTACTCAGATATTTTACACGAGTCAAAAGTGTCAATAGTAGTGTTAAAATCTGTGTTACAAGTTAAAATACTGCATTAAAAAAGTGATTTCATTGCATTTACAAATAAGTAAGTTACATCTGCGTTCATTATGTTTTCTTTGTGCTCTCCCTCATGCTTGTAGTTCATCAGATGTGTGTGTCCTTAACCTGTGTCTGTTACATGTATGTGGTGTGTGTGTCTAACCTGTGTGTGTCTCTCCGCAGGTCTCTCTTGCAGCAGCTGCAGTCTCTGCAGGCGGTGGTCACCGGAAAAGTCCCTAAATCCTGCAGGATGGCCGGCACCCAGACATCATCATGCCTAATGGTACTGTGTGTGTGTGTGTGTGTGTGTGTGTGTGTGTGTGTGTGTGTGTGTGTGTGTGTGTGTGTGTGTGTGTGTGTGTGTGTGTGTGTGTGTGTGTGTGTGTGTGTGTGTGTGTGTGTGTGTGTGTGTGTGTGTGTGTGTGTGTGTGTGTGTGTGTGTGTGTGTGTGTGTGTGTGTGTGTGTGTGTGTGTGTGTGTGTGTGTGTGTGTGTGTGCTAATAGGAGGTTGTGGTGGTGAAACATCGATTTAAAATATTGAATCGGGAACATCTGCTTCCATCATTCATTAGCAGCTTAGCGTTGCTTCATCATTTATTTACTCCCCCCTTCTGTCTCTCCCCCCTTCTGTCTCTGCAGGTGGTTGTTTTGTGTTTCTCTCTGTTTTTGGGGAGTTTTTACCCCAGCAGTATGTCTCCCTGCTCCACCATCACTGAAATTGGCCTTGCCTCCAAACAGCTGGATGTCAAAGAGTCTTACACAACCACAGGTATTTAAACTCACACATACACCCAACAAACTTTTCAACTGTGAATATTTGGCTAGTTAAAGACAGCAGTGCAACCCACAACATTTCAAAAATAATCATCATTTATTAAGATAAATTATTGCAGGTTTAAGGAGCACATGGGAATGTCTGAACAGCCTCCTCTTGAGAACATACGAGACAAATTAAAGATAACATGTCATTTTAATTTGAAGAAAATCTCGATATGAACAAGTGATCACAATTAAAGGGGAACTAAACCTCTTTTCATAAAGTATTCGTATGGTGTAAGACAGTCAAAAAATGTAATTAAACTAACAATTCTCCTCCAAATCCAAATACCTAGCGGGCTAAAATACTGCGTCTCTCTCGTCTAAACTGACCTCTCCTGGTGCTTCTATTGAAACGAGTCATTACTTCCAAAACTATAAAACTGTGGAGGCCCATTATAACATCGGCAATAATCAGATTCCACCTACGGCGCTGCAATAATAGCCACTGATGAGAAGAGCTGACCTTTCACTACATCCTCTCTGCTGCCTCCCACACACACACACACACACACACACACACACACACACACACACACACACACACACACACACACACACACACACACACACACACACACACACACACACACACACACACACACACACTTTTGTAATAGATATAATTTTCTTAACAATCAAATCCAGTGTCCTGCCCCGTCCTGCCGCCATGCAGACAATAACATAACAAGTGTGTCTGTGTGTTTGGGAAAGTGTGTGTAGCTCCATGCACAGCTGCTGACAGTGGGTGTGTAAATAGGGTTAGGGTTATGAGACAGTGGGGCCCTTCAAACTGACATCCAAAAGACCCCAATACCTCAGAGGGAAGAGATTAAGAGATGTTAAAGTTGTTTAACCTCTTTTAGTGTTGTTTTGTGTTTCTTTGTAGTTGTTTGGGTCTTTTTGTAGTTCTGTTTTGCCTTTTTGTTGTAGTTTTCTGTCTTTTTGTAGTCACATTGTGGTCTTTATAGTCTGTGAATTTGAATTTGTTTTGTGTATCTATTTAGTGATTTAGATTCTATTTCTAGTCATTTCAAGTCTCTTTCTGTGTATTTGTAGTTTCTTTTGTTTCAATATTTGTGTATTTATAGTTATTTTGTGTCTCTTTGTAGTTGTTATGTACTTTTTATATCTCTTACGAAAAGGCATTATTCAATATAGACAGTATATACCTACACAAATACATTTTGAACTTTGCTTGTATATGTTAAAAGTTTGCCTTTTTTTAAATGCAGAGATATAACAGAACGGTAAATTAAAATGTATTTTTTCATTCTTCTTTTATTTAAAGTGAAGTCAAGGAATCTGTTGTCCACCTTCGAGGACGAGCAGCCGCATCTCCTCGGTCTCGGTGGGGAATATCCCAACCAATGGGAGGAGGCGCCGGCTGTTGTCATGGCAGCGTGGCGTCGCTCGGAGCAACAGAAAGTGGTGGAAGAGCCCATCATGGTGGAAACACTCGTACCACTGAGAAATAATAGCAATGAAACGCAGACGTCTAAAAACGTGCTGCTGGACCTGCACAGGTAAACAGACTGTGCAGATACTTAGAATATAACAGAAGAAGAAGACGTTAGCATTAGCAGTGATAGCAACATTAGCTGGGTTTAGGAAAGCGGAACTATGTATATGTATATATGTATAAATATTTGTTAATTAAAAAATGACCCAGAAAGATTAGAAGCCAGTTAATTGTATTATATATAAGGTTTTATAATGGACTCTTCACCGCACTACATTTGTATTTTCTTTAAAATATTTTCAAAAATGGCTGTAAGGTGCAGGAAAAGCCCAGAAATACACACTGGAAAAGCTTAAAAAGTACTAACATTGGACATTATAATAGGTGAAGGATCCCTAAATGTGATATAAATTTAAATAAAGTATTGAATTTGTAATTAAAATCCAATGTTATGTGTTTTCAGGTCTTTGGAGAGCAGCAGCAGTAAAGTGATAGAGTTGGATCGGACGGTCAACGAGACCTCATGAGATTCATGTCAACACCCCCACATTATCCCACCATCACCCCCCCTGACCCTCATGATGACCTTTGACCCCCACCCCCTTCTAGACCTGGTTCAGTGTCCTGGAGCAAACCTCATACAGTAGTTCCACTGTTGACTGTTCCATCTCTGCTTAATCAGACACACTGTAATAGTATTAATTAATCATTTTTATAATATTAATAATAAGGAGGCACTGGTTGCTTTAATTTCTGAAGTAAAAATGCACTGAATAATTTTTACGTGAGTCAATCATCAGTTGTCTTCATTGACATTCAAATAGAAACAGTGAATTCCAGTGGGAAGTATTTTAAATATGACATGTGAGGCTTTTTACAGGACACTGAGGGAGAGAACCTTTGTATTTATAGAAACCTTTTTTTGGTTTTTCATAAAGTTATTGCTCTTTGTAGTTCTTTTAAATGTTTTATTCCATTCCAGTGAGCCCCCTTTTGATATTTTTGTTTATGTTCATAATGTGTTTTTTTATTTTTATTTTATTGTACTCTTTTATATATTGTTATATATTTTCTTCAGCTGACTTTACATTTCAAAGATCCAAGGCTTAACACGGGTTCCTGCACTCATTTTAAAACGTTTTTATTTTTTAAAACCTTATATGAATCTGCAGCTCGAATCTGTTGTTTTATATTGTGAATACTGAGTGCAGATTTCAAATCCAGTTAAATAAAAAGCTCAAAATATCTGTTGAGCATCCCACAATTTTACTTCTCCTCTAAGGAATTGTTTGACATTTGAGGAAATATTCTTGTGCCTTTTCGCCGAGAGTTAGAGATTATTAAGCGTATTTCGCCGGATGTCCAACTTTTAAAGAAATGTGTGCTGGAACCACAGAATGAACTTTCTTTGGCCTTATTTCCTGCGATCTTTTTGCCTTAAACACTTTCACTGTCAGCTATTTATCTGCTCTGATCTCTCAGCATTTGCCAAAAAAAACTTTCTTCCCAGAAATGAAAAAAAAAAGTATCTATTTTTGTAAATATAAGTTGTTAATAAATAAGCAAGTCTAAAACTGTCTGGGATGTGGAGTTTATAAACCAATCCATAATTTATCCTGAGTCTTTTGGATGCGATGGTGATAAATGATGAACATAGCTTTGTCCTGACTTCTGTTTCTGGTTCAGTTTGTTTGTTACAGATCATGGCTTTAAAAGTCTTATTTGTTCATTTCAAGTTTATTGCAAGTCGGGTTTTACATTTCTCCTCTTTATTTAAACATGTTTTCTGATGTGTGTTAAACCCATTCCACTTTCTGTGCATCCAAGTTGTAAATACATACATCCCATTTGTTAAAAACTCTTTATCCAGTTTTGAAAGTATAGCAAGAACAAACATAAGAAATTGTATATAACAAACTGAAGATGAAATCAACTGTAAAGACACATATACCAGTTCAATTAAGAGACTAGAAAACACTTTCTATAACCATACTGTAAGTTTTGTACATCAATCAGTGGCTAGATTGTCAAAGATTTATCCTTAAATGTTTATGTTGTTAGGCCAAAACTTGGACTTTATTTTGAACATTTCAATGGAAATTCCCTTCTAGTTTAGACTGAAACTAGCTGCAAGCGGAGAGGGATTTTTCCAAAATTAGATTTAAATTCCATGTTGCTTCTGTGCAAAGCTCTTGTATTTTGCTTTCAAATGAATATAGTATTTTTCCTTAGTAAAAGCATATTTTGCAAAAACCACATTGTGATTGTGTGAGTGGTCTTTTTATGATAAATTACTGAGATTAGAGACAAAGAAAGACAAACAAAATGGTATGGGGCTAGGAATAATGTAAAAAGTACCATGATATCTTAAAGGTCCCCTATTATACTGTTTTTCATCAATATATTATAGGTCTCAGATATATACAATACATGTCTCTGAAGTGTTCGGCTCGAAATACCAAACAGATCGTGCATTGTAGCATCCCATAATCCCCTCTGTTTCAGCCCTGTTTCAAAAGTGCTGATTCTCTGTCTGTTACTTTAGATGAAAATAAGGAGCCACTCCCCACGCCCCTCTGAGAGACATTTGGTTAAAAAGAACACAATGGTGCTCTAGGAGGAGATTCAGGTGATAGGGGGGGGGGGGGGGGGGGGGGGGGTACCTTGGATGGTGATTGGCTAATTGTTACACAAGCCAAAAAAACATTATGACATCATAAAGTAGCCAAAATCTGATCAGCTCATTTTCAGACAGATTTTTATAGAAATGGATCAGGACACAAAGTGAGAGAATCTTTTTTCCTGAAACTTTCAGAATCTCTTTACACAGAGGAGACACATATTTGTGTATAAAAGACATGAAAAAGTGGATTTTGCATAATCGGTGACCTTTAATGTTACATGCAATGGGATACAAAATAATGGCATTGGACTTAGTACAAGGAATATACATATGTTAATACAATGGCATATTTTTCACACGGTAGAATATTGTGTATCTAATGTTGTATTTTGTACCTTGTTTTTAGTGCTAATTATAACATTTTAGCATGCTTCGGCAATCAATTAAGATTGTAAACATCAGCATGTTAGCATTGAGTACAGCCTGTAGACTCTTTTTTAGTTTCCATAACAGCTGGTTACACTCCAAAGAGAGCAAGAGAGTTTGAGTTATGTAAAATAAAAATATATTAGTTGTATTATAGTTATTTTAAGTTAAATTAAGTAACGTTGAATTCTCGAGGAAAACATTATTTTACTCGAAAACATCCACAGTAAACAAAAGAATCCAAAAACAGAGAACATTTGTAACTATTTGAATTAAATGGGAGCTGCTTTTAACTTTGACTAATGCAAAAGTGTTTTGAAATACGTTTTAAAGTAGACCTGGATTATGCTGCCCAAAAGTGTGACAGTTTGTTTGAAGATATTTTGATATTGTTCTGCTGTTCCAAACGTGGCGCCATTTACGTCAAATCATAGAGAATTTTGTCAATTTCTTTTTAAAAATCTACATTTTCTTCAAGAGTTAAAGACAACACATTGTGTACAAATTATTATTTGTGGGGGAAGTAAGACCACTTCTAAAAAGAACTGACGTGCAAAAAAACTGCAATGGCTAGCCTCCAAACCTTTCGGTGCGTGCAACGTTAAACTAAAGTTGAAGTGCATTTGGACAGAAAGGCTTCTCAGGGTTAACAGAGGCCTGCAGAGGAGCTTCTATCTCCTCCATCATGGCGAGGATCCTGAAATAGATCTGCAGCAGCGCCTCATAATTAGTAATGAGAATGGCTCTGACAGTCCCAAGACGAAACGCAGTCCCACAGCTCCACAGCACCAGTGTCATAGTAACACAGCAGAAATACATTCCTTCACGGCTCCAGTTATGGTGCGATGCTTTGTCGTAAAATCAATATGAAAACACCGAGCAGTTTCCAAACTGTGATGAAACATTTGTAACAAAGATCGATGAGCTGTGGTCTGTTGCACAGGGTTGCAGGAGTTTCCACGCACACAACCTGTTAACTATAAATGAGACAATGCTTTCATCAAGGCTCACAGAGAAAGGGTCGACATTGTCTTCTCTCTTTGAGTCATGATGAGAGTCTAGTAAAATAATTTCTAGAGTTTTTTATTTTGTAAAATTGGGTTTCTTCTCTTAACCCTCTTTTCTGTAAGCACATGTGTGCCAAGAAAACAAAATACATGAAGTTATGCATAATGAATATCATATTGCTCATTGTATCAAGTCAACATTTTGAGATGTTAAAGATAAAACACAAGATGTTAACATATTAGTACAAAATGAAGTGATATTAACACACTTTTGACTTATTTAGTTAAATATTGTGTTACTAAGTAAAAGATGTTGACATATTAAGTCAAATTTATGATATACTAAGGCAAAAATGATGTGATACTTAGTGGAAAATGTAGTGTTAAGTCAAAATTATGGTACCAAGATGTAGTCAAAATGTTGACTTGAGTCAAAATCAGGAGAAACTAGTTCAACAAATGACATATTTATTCAAAATAATAAAGTAAAGAATTATGATCCTTAGACAAAATGATGTATTATGTATTAAGAATGTTGACTTATGTGACTTATTAAGTATAACGTGTAGTGTTAAGTCAAGACAATGTAAAAAGTGCAGACATAGTTATGTGATATGTAGTCAAAATGTTAACTTATTTAGTCAAAATGATGGGAAACTAAGTGGAACATATGTAAGCATTAATTCAAAATGATGACACTATGTCAAAGTTATGTGAGCCGAGACTAAATAGTTAGTTATTACATTGAGATCACATTAAACAAAGTAAAAATATCGACGTATCAAGTCAAATGTACAGTATGTCATACTTGTTGACCTTCATAAGTGAAATCCTTGTCGTCACGATGATGTGTAGTCACAATGTTGTGTTGTGACATCTATAATGACTGCATGTCCATGCGGTGTGTTTTCCTTTAATTATTAACGGTTGGTAATTGCTGAGATTGCAGACAGATGCTCTCCTGCAGAAAAGGTCAAACAATTCACCTCAGGTCAGAAAGGAATTTACAAATCGGACGGCTTCTTGCAATGAAGAGAAACACAGGAGCAGACAGATGTGGCCTGGTGTTTGACAGGAAGATAAACTGATGCACAGAAAGGGTTACAATCATTTGGTCAGAGTACATTATCAACATATCACGCATGCACATCCGTAAAGACAACATATGGGCTATGTGTGTGTGTGTGATTAGTGTGTGCAGCTCACCCTCTGCCCTACTTTCTGAGTGATGATGCTGCAGAAAGGAGGAGGAGAGGGAATATCCCACAATGCCACGCTGCTCATCCCATGGGCCAGATGGACGGACAGACAGACGGATAATCTTATAGATGGATGGATGCTGCAGTTACAGTCCGCACACACTGAACGTGTTAATTGTCACCGCCCTCACAGCAGCTCGCTCTTTCGCAGTTTTTAAAAGCTGCCATGTCACACGAAAATCAGACACCCAACTTCCGGTCACTAATGATAAAATAAAATCGTTTTTCAGACAAGCTTGAATTGTGTTGATCCCAGTGCAAATATGCCATATCAGTAAAAAGCCAATCAAAAATATACTGTACATTTTAAAAGAGTACATTATTTTATTGTCCATAATGAAGGACATAATATCCCATTATAAACATTATGACAAGTCAGAGAGTTGTAATTATAATAATTGAATATCATATTGAAGTGTGTGAATGTATAACCTCTGTAAAAGTGTACATTTCAATAAACGCCTTTTATTTGGTAATGCATACATTACAAATCTGCCAGATAATCACAAGGTTAAAGTTGCATTCATATTAAAACTAAAGTGCTCCCATTGTATATATTACATTTCTAAACTACCGTTTTAGCATGATGTAAAACAAATGTATAATAGATTTATGAATTGAAGTATGACAACAAATCCAACAAATAGATAAACCAGAACACAATAAAATGTATATGCAGTATGTAATAATTGTAAAATAGCAATATTTACAAAAAAGCTGCATTGTGAAATGGAAAAATTCGAATCAATTCTCACTTCATCCACAACCATTTTATTCAGAAACATTAGCTATGTTTTGCCTGTTCTGAAACATCTTCTTAACAGCTGTACATTTATTTTTTGGACATTTATTTTTTGGAAAGCTTTTATTGTGAAGGATATGAAGCTGCACTTCCTGCCTTACGTTTCTCAATTGACGTAGCTCGCTGGCAGTTGGTTTGGTGCTCGTGAGTGCAATTCGGTCTGTTGTCCAGGGCGACCGTGCCTGGCTGCAGTATATAAAGGGGGTTAACGGTCAAAAATCAAAACGGTCAAGCCGCTCAAACACGTTAACGGGGTCGCATTAACTCCCCCCGTAACCGCTAAATCCTCCGCTCCTCCACCGGCACCTGTGTACCCCCACAAGCCGTGAGAGAGGGGGTCCAGAGCGGGGGGCAACACAGCCAGGACCGACCGGCATGGACCCCCAAGCTAAGAGTCGACCCGGCCCGGGAGGCTTCAGCGGTCGCCTGGCCTCTCTGGGAGCCGACGGGGGAGACTCGGAGTCCGGAGCCGGTTCAGAGGAAGCTTCCGTGGGCTGCTGCAGCGACACATTCAGCACTCTGCCCGACATGGAGCAGGACACACTGGAGGAGAAATTAAGAGGACTGGCGTTCAGAAAACAGACCTCGTATCGGTGAGTGGGGAAGCGGGGAGGATGCTGGGACAGGATACTGCTCATGTTGGTCTGTTATGAATAAAGCTAGCAGCACCCATGTTTATTTTATAAAGTGATATGGTAAGAGTGACATGCCGGCTAGCCTAAGCGTAGAAACACAACACAGGGAAGGACACAAAGAGAGTGAGGGATTATATTAGAGGTTATTAATATTTTTCTTGCTAAATTCACATGTTTTGGTATGGTAGCTTTTCAGAGCTAGCCACGTTATTGTCATGCTGTTCACATCCTCAACATGTCATTGATACACACAGCAGCAGCAGCATTTGAGCTCATGTCAGTGATGAATCAAAACAATTTGGCTAAAACATTTGTGTGTGTGTGCATCTCCCTGTGGTGTTGTAGCTATGTTGTGATGGAGCATGTGAATAGGGGGAGGGGGAATATTGATTTTGGGGAAATATCTGTGTGTGTCTGTTTGTGTATGTTTTATGAGTGTGTATGTGTGTGTGTGAATGCCAGCAGCAGCCTGACACCCTGGTGCGACTGGCAGCTGCTGTTGATAGTGAAAACTGGCCAGAGACCAAACACACACATGCACACACACAGCCGTTTTAGTTGTCAAATGTCACTGTCAGGAATGTGTGGCATCTATCTGTCTGCCTGTCAATTTGGTCTTTGATTGTGGCTCTGTCTCTCCCAAAAGGATCTGTATTTGGAGGTCAAATCTAAGATGTTAACTGGTTTGTGTCACATTAACTTGTTGATATTTGGTTGTTTTATTTCGGGAACTGTGGCAAGTAAATCAACAGTTTAAGTTACTATAATCTGCGAAATTCAATCAGCAATTCAATATTAATTGATTGAGCATATAGCATGGTCTATTTTCACTCTTCATGTTTATGTATGTACCTTGATTTGAAAAAAACAAAGCAAACACATTTTTTTCTCTCATTAGTTTGATACATTTCCCAAATTAATTTGATTAAAAACAAGAAGGTAGCTTTACATGAAGCCTTTTTATTTAACGAGTAATAGACGTCTCAATCATATTAAATATGTTTCGTACACACTTTAAAACGGAATAAACAGACCTTTTGATAAGGAAAGTCTTCCTATTTAATCTAGGGATGTTACTGTATAATCCTATTTGGCAGATGACGATTTGTCTGTTTCATTATTTTGAAGACCCATAGTCTTTTGAAACACCCAATTGAGCTACAGTAAGGTACTGTAAGACAATTACTTTACCAAGGTTATCCTCATTTTTATTGTACCGTCATTTAAAGCGTTTCACTTCCTCTGTGTGTTTCCCCAGGGGAACCGCTTTGGGTTAAGTGAGGTTTCCAGGAGATAGTGCATCATCATGAGTGCCACAGCTGGTTCACTCTCTCCATTTTATAACTGCAGGAGTAGTTTGTTCTGATGAATCTGTTTCCTCAGTCAAAGAAACCCCGCAGATAACTGCTAAAGGGATGGATTTGGTAAATTGTGCATGTCAAATCTATGTAATCTGGAGTAAAGGATGATCATCTGACCCTCGTCATATGTGCTGCAGAGTTTCACCATGAGGTTTCATTACTATATCAACATAAATTCAAGAGATGAGTGAGACATTTGGGACGTGTAAAAGTGCACTGATCAATCTTAAGCTGCAGAACACTAACTGAAATATTAAAATCCAGTCAAATATTAATGTTCGAAAAGGTAAAAGGTTCATATTTGACTGGTTGGGATGCTGTTAGCTATGCTTCCGACATTTTGAATTAGTGTTGCGTGCATGATGGAGGCAAAACGATGTTGGTTTAGCTCCTTAAAAGCTTTTTAAGGGGAATACATTTGTTAGGTTGCCCTTATAGATGCTGTAACAGCTGCTAGATCTGTTTGAATGTGTGCAGCCGAGCAGCAATCTACACCTCAAGATAACTACCCCTTTCTTGCAAATAGTTAGAAGAGCACAAAGAAACAGCTCTCAATCTGTTCAATATAAATGAAGCTACAACTGGTAAACTTTGCTTAGCCTGAAGACTGGAATCTGTCCAAAGATAAAAGCAGCAACATTATTTTCCACCCATGTCACCCTCAGCTCTGTAGCCTTTCCCAGTGGTTTATCTCAGTGCTGGTGTACTGTAAACGGCTTCATTGGAAATCCCCAGTTGGATTAATTCCATTTGGAAAGAGAACATTTTGCTCATGAAACAAAGTGCAGCCATTGTTCACTATTATTGTTACAAAAAAATGTGTTTGAGTGAATACAAGAGGAACCTCTTACGATTAATGAAGAAGCACTTCACTTATTTTTAATGGAGTTTTTGTTTCACCATTTAAAAGAAAGGACTGTTTTCTGGTAGAAACAAGCTTCTGGCTTTATTTGTAATCCTCCACTGTATGCTAATTGTATGGACTTGATGAATGCAGTCTGGTGCTTTTATGTCAAATAAATCTTCTTTCTTGCACTTCTCTTCTATGTATAACAGTTGCATAGACACGCAGTAAGTCGCCATGCCTTGGTGTTGTTTGACCTTTGGCCTCATTGGATAAAGCTATGTATAATCTATACATTTTCCTCTTCATGGGATCAGCCATGTGGAGGAAATGGCATTAGCCGGTGGGAAGATGGTTTGAAGGAAGGTAGTTTACATAGCTTTGAAGTGGCCAGTGCCAAGGAGTGAATTACCATATGTGGTGATATGAAAGAGCTGAGAAATGATGACATTGAACATCAAAGGCAGTGTGTGTGTGCGCGTGCTTTTGTGTTTATGGCAGCGTAAAGCACGTGCAATTTATCTGCCAGACATTCGTCACAATTGGTGTGTGTGTGTGTGTGTTCCCAGAATACTGTCCCTCCTTTTTATCTATTATTAGACGTCTCACCCGTCCGCCTGCATGACAGTCAGAAAGACAGTTGCTTTGTGTGTCATGCGTACCAGTTAGTCAGCGCGACAGATAGTCTGTATGACATTACATCAATTAGCTGCTCTTTCAACCAGCCGGACTCTCAATCTGTAAGTGAGTTAGTGAGTCACAAAGTGCTTTTTCTAGGCACTTCCTGTCTGTGACTGTCAGCTGGTCAGCATTTCACTTAGGTTAACCTTTCAGCTGACCAGAAAGGGAATCATCCAGTTCTGTAAACGTCCAATGTTAATAGGGCTGCAACTATAACTGCCTATCATTTTCTTAGGTTCATCGAGTAATCATTTTGTCTTTAAAATAGAGAAAACATTGAAAAGTGTCCTCAAAGCCCAAGGTAATGTTTTGATCTGTCAATCCAAAACCCAAAGACATTACTGTGAGATTATGTAAATAAGTAGGAAATAAAGTACAATAATAAATAAAGCAGGAAATCTATATTTAAGGGGCTTTAAAGTACATTGTTTTCCATGTTTGCATGAAAAATGACTTCAACCGATATAAGAAATAAAATAGTTGGGGGTTCTTTATTTCTGTCGATCTACTTATCAATATCAAATCTATATGGGAATTAATGGAACTCTTGCTATTAGATGTTTGGCTACTTCAATAATAGACGAAACAATTAAGCTGTGGTTGAAAATCAATAGGCGGCAGGGATGATTTGTTGTTATGTACTGTATATTGACAACCAATTTATACCAGAAGAACAATGAAGCCTAGCTTTGCCCACCTCCTCTAATACATATTACTATGAGGAAAGAGTTCTGCTGATACTGATCCTGTACATCAGGGGTGTCAAACTCAATTTCATCACGGGCCACGTTAGCATTAAGGTTGCACTCAAAGGGCCGGTTGTAACTATATAAATATACATATATAATATATATATAAAATAATGTATTATATTACAGTATTGCCTCTGAATTAGATTATTATCGGATAGGATAATAACTTAGTAATTAACTACGTCTGAAAGCAGAAGTCCAGGGCAAATAATTGCAAGTCTCTTCAGTGTCACAAAGTGGGATGCATTGTGGGACATGTAGTTTATGGGCAACCTGCTTCTGTAAAGTGGCATGTAACCGTATAATAAACGTATTATATTCTTAGCAAGCTCTTGCGGGGCCACATAAAATGAAGTCGCGGGCCGGATTTGGCCCCCGGGCCTTGAGTTTGACACCCCTGCTGTACATGATTCTGCTGTAACTTCTCCAACCAGTCTAGAATGGGTGGTGAGCGGTTGTTTCCTTTCTTTGTTTTTTTGTTAGTCTGCACACAGATTTATGTTTCCCACTGCCAACTCATCCCTGGCTTCTTCACTGTAAAGATACACATTTGATCCAAACTAATCCTCCTGGCAGACCAACACTCGGACTATGACTCTGCTGGGTAAACATGCCACCATGACCTGTTTGCCCAGGAGGGAAATATACAATGAAACAAACGCTATGTTTCACCAACCAGCTTCTCATGTGGTGAGATTTCACCACCGCCATCTTGGGAAACAATGCGGAAACAAACTGCCACAAGACAGGATGTTGTAACATTATCCTCCACTATTTACAGCCCACTTCACAAACAGAAGATCACAATAAGCGATTGTCCAATTGACTTGGGGTTTCATGTCCTCTGAGGCTGCGGGACAATATATACAGCAGGGATGGGGAAGAAAGACTGGAGAGACATGAAGAATAATTGAAAAAAAGATATGAATGTATCTCATGTTGCTACCACTGTGCACCACCTGCAGGGGTAAACAGTGATCAAAGGCCTTTCATCATGTGATGCTGGCAGAATATAAAAACTCTTTCCAGCCTTCAATTAGGATAAAAGACAGAGAGCAGAGGGAGGAGTGAGAAAGATGGGCAGAGAGGGAAGAAGGAAATGTTTGAAACCAAGTCAAAGGTATGTGACGATTTGAGAAAAAGGAGAAATAGCGACAGATCTGCGCTGACAAATTATAAATCAATATTTGTATTACTCAAGAGAAAACTGATGTCGGTTGAGGAATAAAGTTTACTCTAAAACGCCAGAGCCTTTATCAGATTCCATAGGCGTACTTACCTTGAGGCTCTTAAAGGTACTCGTGAATTTTGTATCTGGTG